TGCCCCCGGCAGAGATCCCGGTGCTTCCCGAGCCCCCCGGTCCTTCCCGAGCCCCTCGGTGAATCCCGAGCCCCCCGGTGAAGCCCCCAGCAGAGATCCCGGTGCTTCCCGAGACCCCGGTGCTTCCCGAGCCCCTCGCTGTCCACCGAGCTCCTGGTGCCCCGACCGAGCCCCCCGGTGAATCCCGAGCCCCCCGGTGCTTCCCAAGCCCCCGGTGCCCCCGGCTGAACCCCCCGGTGCTTCCCGAACCCCTCGCTCCCCACCGAGCTCCTGGTGCCCCGGCAGAGCCCTCCGGTGCTCCTCGTGCCGCCGGTGCCCCCGCCGAGCCTCCCGGTGCTTCCGAGCCCCCCCGGTGTCCCCGCCGGGTCCCCCGGTGCTCCCCAAGCCCCCGGTGCCCCTGGCAGAGCCCCCGGTGCTTCCCGAGCCCCCCGGTATCCCCGCCGGGCCCCCCGGTGCTCCCCAAGCCCCCGGTGAATCTCAAGCCCCCGGTGCTCCCCAAGCCCCCCGGTGCCCCCGCCGAGCCCCGCCGCTCTCACCAGCACCGGGTGCGGCTCTCGGACCGTCCCCAGCAGCCGCGCCAGCTCCCGGGACAGGACCCGGCAGGCGGCCCAGTCCGGGCGGCGGAGCGGGGCCGGTGCCGGTGCCGGTGCCGGTGCCGGTGCCGCGGGAGGCGGCGGCAGCAGAGCGAGGAGCAGCCAGAGGCGGAGGCGGCGGAGCGGAGCCATCCGAGCTCGTTCTGTGCCGCCACCGGCGCCGCCACCGGGCTCTTATGGGGCGGCGGCAGGTGGGGAATCCCGGGGCAGGTGGCTCCCGCCCCTCGCCGCCGCCGCCGCCCCTCGAAAGCAGAACCGATACCGGGCCGGGGTCCCCGCGCTGCGCCCCGCCGCACCGGGACGGGCAGGAAAACCCGGGGCAGTTCCTGGCGGGATGGGAGCCACCGGCACCGGTATCGCCACCGGCACCGGTATCGCCACCGGCACCGGCGGCGGGGACGTCCCCTCGCTGCACCTGGGCTGCCCCGGCGGGCGCACCGGGATCCCGGCGGCGTCCGGGCGGCGTCCCGGCGGTGTCCCCGCGGTGTCCCCGCGGTGTCCCCTCGGTGCCGAGCCGGACCGTGCCGTGCCGTGCCGCAATCCCGGCGGTCCCGCCGGGGCGGCTCCGGCGCTTCCCGCTCCGCCCGCCGGGGCTGCCCCCGGCTTTCCCCGGCACCGGGCGCGCCGCGGGCACCGGGGCCGGGCCGGGGACGCTGCCGGGA